AATATAGCCAATATTTTATAATAACTATACCCTAACCTTTAAAGAGTGAATCACTATATTGTATGCCTATAACATATACTATTGTACATCAACTATACTTCAGTTTAAAAAATATGGTATTGTAAAATAAATACAGAAATAAATACGGTTTAAAAAAAGAACTCCAATTTGGTGTCTTGATAAGAACTCTGGCTGCCTCATACAATGCTGGGCGGCACTCATATTCCTTGGCTGGTGGCCCCTTCCTCCATCTTTAAAGCCAACAGAAACAGGCCAAGTCCTCTTAATGCTGCCATCTCTCTAGCTTTCTGCAGCCAAGAATGGTTCTCTGCTTTTCAGGCCTCATGCAATTAGATTAGACCTACTTGAATAATCTAGTATAAGTGTCCCATCTCAAGGTCTGTAACCTTAATCACATCTGCAGAGTCCCTTTTGCTACATAAGGTAACATATTCACAGGTTCCAGGGGTTAAGATGTGGAAATCTTTGGGGGCCATTATTCTATGTATCACTGTATATATAATATTAGTATATTATATGACATATTTCATATGTATAAATTTATAAAATTTACATGTATTATATATTTATATTATGTTGTAAATACATAATTTATGCTTTAAAATTTCTATATATACATGTTGAATGTGTATGTATATATATTTACATGTATGTATGTATATACACACACATATACGATACAGTGAAATATCTATGTGTCTTTTTCATTGTTGCTTGTCACCACTATTATTTCTCTGCCCCTTGCTGCACACTGAGTGACTTGGATGGAATGGCATATTTCCATATTTTAATTTTTTCACTTGATTTCCCCTTTGCTGAAGTGGTTAAAGCAGATAGGCTATGCTTATAAGTTTTAATGAACAATGCCCACCTCCAGCAGCTTAAAACTACAAGAGTTTAATTACCCTCATATCATGTGTCACTTGTAGGGTGACTGAGGGGCTCTACTCTGTGCTGTTCCTACTCAGAGACCCCAGAGGTGGGAAAATCCAGCTCCATGATCCACAAAGGCTGAGATAGGAAGGGAACATGGTTGATTGTGCACTTATTCCTGAAACTTCACTTCTGGTCACATTTCATTGACAAAAGCACATCATTTGGCCACATCTAACTTCAACAGCTCACAGTATATTTATGGACAGCCCTAGTGACTCCCTATAAGATACATAAACATCCTTTAAAAAGTTACGTTCTTTAAAATAGAACTGTAGGCTTAATCGTGAGAAATCGTAGTCCCCTGCTCCACTCTATGGGGCTGCTCTCAAGAGGAAACCACATTAAATAATTTTCGTGATTTCTTCTAGAATTTACCTCCAAGTTTCTAAATAACATGTGTATAGTTCTATTTCCTGATTTTTCCATTTTAGCCACCACTTAACTAAATTCCTACTAGGGAAGATTTGACTTACCGCTCTTCCTCACATACAGCATTTACGTCATGATCCTGTAAACATTACATACAGCTGAGCTATGTAGGATAGTTTCATTTTCTTTCTCATGCATTGTTTTCTTAGAATGAGTAAAGCCTTCTCTTTTTTCATTTGCTTAGTTTTCTGTGTATCTATTATTAACTTTTTCCCCAAGCTCTCTGACGAAGCTGTAAAACTCCTCTCAAAACATTCAGACACACTGAGCCCTTCATTAGTTCCATTCTGTTCTCAGAAACATCCCTCATTGCTCCTCAGTTGTCCCTTTCCAGCATTGTGACAGATCACTTTCTGGGTCTGCTTATATTTAAGATTCCTATTCCTTAAAACCTTCAGGTTTCCAATCAAGAAGAAGAAGGAAAAAAAGACTTCTGAAGTCCCTGCTCCCTGTTCTGGAACTCTGATACAGACATGTTATGGGAAGCAAAATAAGTTTCAAGCATTGGCCTTGCTTTGTACTCCTTTTGGCTAAGGATTGGCCACTGGGTCTGGGTCCTCACTGCTCCAGCTCAGGTTCAGATTCTTTACTTTGGCTTCTCGTATGTACTGCTTTCAAGATCTTGATCATCCTCTGATATCCTTATCTTGGAACTAATAATAAAAGAAGAAGAGAAAGGGTCCATCTTTTTTTTGTGGGGATTCCTAAGTTCCTGAGCTCCAGCCCTAGAAGCACCTGCATATTTCTTACCCCTCACCCCTCCTTTGTCCCATTAGAAGCAAAATTGTTAGACTTTACTCAAAAAGTGGGAAATCCAAGTCATAGGGGAAATCAGTGTGAAAGTTAATATCTTGTTATGCTCTTATCTGGGAGCTGATTGAATTTCTGAAAGCTCTTGAGGTGCTCCTGCTGGCAGCTGGGACTGAAGGTTCAAAGCAGAGAAACAGGCATGTGGGGAAATGCTTTTACTTCATGATTTTCGTCTCACACCTGGAGATGGGGTACAACGTGCAAGGGGAGGGGAGCAGAATGAGAATATAAATACTGGAGTAATGATGGCAATGTTTTCATACCTGTGTGGGGATGAGATTTGGTTTGATTGTGGAAGGATGAAGCAAGGAGGATGATGAAGATGATTCTGAGATGCTGAAGAAACCTAGAGTGGTGTAGTTCTGAGAGGACGTTGTGTTAAGAAACCTGAGAAATTTCTGCCTGCTTTAGTCTACCATCAAGGAAATTGTCTTATCCCCCCCCCTTTTTTTTTCCTCATTTTCTGTTATGTGTAGCACAACTGGAGATTAGAAGAGAGAAGATGTTCCTGGGGCTTTCTGTGAAAACAATGGCCCCACCCCAATGACAGGGAAGGGATTGATGCTAGGAATTACCAACTTATAAATGGAAATTAATACTGTAATTAGCAAGATAGGAAAATCCATCTTATTGTAAATAGTGATACTTATAGACTGTGA